AATTAGTGGGCCCACTCGGTGCCAATCCTGTGCAGTGTAAATTGAGAGGTGTAGATATAGGTACCTACAGCAGCTAGGTTTTTAACTTCTTATGGAATAAAAATGCATCGAGCCTAAATTCACCTATTTTGGCTTTTAAAGTTTAATAGAGCCAGCTGCTTTATCAGAACATCCTAGGGGAGGACCCAGGGGAGTTCAGCTTGTCTTAAGTATGGATGTACAGAAATCAGTTGTGTTAGGGTTTCTATTGCTATGATAAAAAACAAAATGTAACAAAACCAAAACCAAAAACCAAAAAACAAAACAAAACAAAACAAAAAAAAAAGCACCATGACCAAAAGCAGCATGGGGAGGGAAGTTCTTATTTCAGTTTACAAGTCCTGGTCATTGTCCACCACAAAGGGAATCAGGGCAGGAGCTGCTGCGGAGGCCATGGAGGATGCTGCTCACTGGCTTGCCCCTCATGGCTTGCTCAGCATGTTTTCTTAGAGCACCCAGGTCCACCTGCCCAAGAGTGGTATCACCCACAGAGAGGGGGCTCTCATTTCCTAATTAAGACAGAGCCCCATAGACTTACCGAAGGCCAATCTGATGGAGGCGCTTTCTCAGCTGAGAATCCCTCTTCCTAAATGGCCCTCGCTTGTGTCAAGTTGACACAAAAATAGCTAACGCAGTGGATACAGGAGGGAATGGAAAGGAACAGCACCTTTAAGATTTCAGACTGAGAGAAAGTGTGGAAGCAGCCATTCCTTTTTATTTTTTAAATTTATTTATCTTTTATCTTATGTGCATTGGTGTTTTGCCTGTATGTATGTTTGTGTGAGAGTGTTGGATCCTGAAGTTACAGACAGTTGTGAGCCACCATGTGAGTGCTGGGAATCGAACTCCGGTCCTCTGGAAGAGCAGTCAGTGTGCTTAACCACTGAGCCATCTCCCCATGCCCTATTTTTTATTTTTTCAAGAATTATTTTTATCTGTGTGGATGCCACATGTGTCAGGGAGGCCAGAAGAAGGCATTAGCCCCCCTGAAGCTTGAGTTAGGTGTTTGTGAGACACATGATGTGGGTCCTGGGAGCAATCTGATCCTGGGCTGAGAACTGAACTCTGGTCCTCTCTTCTAACTTCTGAGCCACCTTTCCATCCCCCACAGCCCATTTTTTAAAAGTGTGCTATTTTTTTTTAATATTTAGTTTTATGGCAACTTGACACAAGCTAGAGATATTGGATAGGAGGGAGCCTCAATTTAGAAAATGCCTTCGTGCTGGGCGGTGGTGGCTCACACCTTTAACCCCAGCACTTGGGAGGCAGAGGCAGGCAGATCCCTGTGAGTTCGA